TCGTCGTCGGACCCCAACCTGCTCAACGACTCGTCCAACGCGTCGGCGTCGCCGCTCGTCATCGCCGCCCAGCGCGCGGGCGTCAAGGTGCTGCCCGACATCATCAACGCCGTGCTGCTGACGGCGGTGCTCTCAGCGGCCAACTCCAACGTCTACTCGGGCAGCCGCGTGCTGCTGGCGCTGGCCGAGGAGGGCCAGGCGCCGGCCATCTTCAAGAAGACGAACCGGTACGGCATCCCCGTCATGGCGGTGGGGGGCACGGCGGCCTTCGGCCTGCTGGGGTTCCTCAACCTGTCGTCCGACGGCGGCAAGGTCTTCAACTGGCTGCTCAACATCAGCGGTGTGGCCGGGCTGACCACCTGGGCCAGCACCTGCCTGTCGCACCTGGCCTTCATGCGCGCGCTCAAGGCGCAGGGAATCCCGCGGTCCGAGCTGCCGTATGTGTCGCGCTTCCAGCCGTACACGGCCATCTACGGCCTGTTCTTCAACGTCCTCATCACCCTGACGCAGGGTTTCACCGTTTTTATCAACTGGAACGTGAGCGACTTTTTTGCGGCTTACATCAGCCTGATCTTGTTTGTGGTGCTGTGGGCGGGCCACAAGTTGTGGCATCGCCAGCCGAGTGTCAACCCGGCCACGGCGGATCTCGTCCGTGGGCGCTATGATCTGAACGAGGAGCGTTCGGCTGCCGATGGCGGGGTATGATCAGAATGAACGGGAGTGTGTGTCCTTGCTGTGTGTACATTGCATACGAGGGGCAGGCGAAGAAGTCGGGACGATGGCTCGAGGATGTGGTGGCCTCGGTGTAAAAGTGTCACGATGCCGGTGAGCAGAATCCCAACAGCGTGTATGATATTACGGCGTGCATAATAGCGATAGTACCCTTATCATTGTTTCCCAAACAACACCAATGCTGCCACCCGCTCAGAGGATCATATTCCAGCTGACCTTCTTGCCCCTCATCATGGTCAGGACGCCGACAGGCAGGAACTGCTTGTCGACAAGGCTCAGCCCGCCGAAGTCCTCCTGCAGTTCCTTGGCATAGAGTTGAAGGAACCACTTCATTTCCGCATCGAGCCGGACGCTGCCGGCCAGAAATTGCCTCAGCTCACTCTCGACCTCCTTACTCAGCGCAATCTCCTCCATCTCCGGGACACAGATAAGTTTTTCAAAAGTGCGGAAAAATTGGTGGCTCTGTCGTTCGCGGAACCGGGAGAACTCCTCGAGCGAAAAGAAGACCGACATATCCAACTCCGTGATGGCACGCGTCTTGCTGGAGTCGTTGTCCCCGTAGATACGGTGGAGTCGGCGACGACGGATTGATTCCGTGGTCGACTCGAAGTGTTTTCTTTCGTCTAGATAGTCTTCCCGCTCCTTTTTGAGATACTCTTCGATAATCTTCTCCGGTGTCTCGTTGATGTTGTTGCGGACTAGGAACAAGCCGACGAAGGGGTTTCGGAGGCCTAGGCCACCCAGTTGTTCGGGCATGTGGATGAAAGAGTCAGGTAGGTCCGAGACGCCGAAGCGAGTCTGGATCATTTGTTTGACTGGTAAGATGATGTATTAGTGGGATGTGCATTGCAAGGCCGTGGGGGGGAGGGGGGCGGGTATGTGGCACTTTGGTAACTTACTGTGTTCAACGACGCTCCCCTCCTTACCATTGGAGCCTGGAAATAGCCGCCGTAGCATGGTTTGGTAGGTATTCAAAACCCCGTCGACGTGCTCCCGACCGAAGCAGCGTGCCGGTTCGCCAAAGGTGTGGCTAAAGAAGCGGCCGATGCAGCTATTCCATGTCTGGACCCACGACAGCACGCTCTTGCACTCGGTCAACTGCTTCTTCAGTTGATCGACGTGCGCTACGACGAGCTTCTGGTCAATCACCCATTTACCAGTCTCTGGATCAAGACACAAGAAGCCAATCTTGACCGGGCCAGCCGGCAACGTCTGGGCAATGGTTTCGTCTCGCTTGGCGGACCCTGGAAGGTAGACAGACCCGGTTTTGGCCTTGTTGAAGTCGAGGCCGAACACTTTGGCAAAGGATTGCATGCAGGTCCAGGCTTGAGCGCTCCTCTCGGGCTCGCCAACGAGCCAGATGTCATCGTGTAGCCGGTACAGTAGGATTCCGGTGTCACGGTTGACAGCGAGGTCCATGAAGAACAGCACTAGCTCTCCCGTAAACTTCTCTGAGGCGTGCGCCATGGGAACACCCCTCTTGCGGATGCGCGGCCCGAGCTGCGGGCGGTCGTCGGAGGCCGCGTCCAAGTTCAAGGGGGACTCGAGATACTTCTTGAAGAAGTCGATCCAGTCCTGGCCAAAGCCGACGTAGCGCATGAGGGCAAATACTGTGTTGTGTGAAAGGCCCGTGGCGTACCACTGTAGGTCGGTTTGGACCAAGGCGACGCCGTGCCCGGCCCCGCCCCGCGTCTCGTACGTGACATCTCGGAGACGGTGGACAATAAGCTCTGTGGTGAGGTGGCGCAAGAGCTGCTGCTTGATGCCAGACCGTTTCTGCGGCGAGGATGTCACGTCCTGATAGCCGCTATCGACGGTCTGGTTGTCGCTATCATCGTCGTAGTTGTTATCGCCGTCGAAGAGCGAAGTCTCGGTGGCTGGGAGCTGTGAGAGGAAGAACTTGTCAAAGTAGTCGGACTTGCGCTGCGACTCAATGTTCGCCAGAGATGTTGCGTAGCTATTCGTGTAGAACTGATGCCTCTCCAGATCGGAGGCGGATGGGGCCCTGTGACCCTCGAGATTTCGCGAGCACACACTCTCCATAAAACTCTTCAGTGCTGGCTTTAGCATGTTGCACAATCTGATGCCGATGTGTTGGACAAAAATCATCTGCAAGATATCATCATCGGCCCACACCCGATACTTGCCGTTCAAGCCGCGGCGCGGCATGACACGAATTCCATCTTTCCCGGCATCCCAGTGCCACTGCTTCAGGTCGGAGAAGCGCATGTTCAAGACATCGGCGATCTCCGACTTGGCAACATTGCTCTCGAGGAAGTCGCGTAGGATTGCCTGCTTCTCGTCGCTGAGGATGTCCTCGGTTAGGAGGCCCTTAATGCAGCTAGTGAGAGACTCTTCGGTGAAGGGGGCAGTCTCGGACATGAAGCCAGCTGCTATTGTAGGCAATCTCCTTGCGCAGCGACTCTAGCCTGTTTTGGCTCTTTTCGTCTGTGAATAGACGATCCAGAAAGTTCCGCATCTCGGTCTCATCCGTCTCAAGCGGCTTGAAGACGACTTGCTCGAATTTGTCGACCAGCTCGCTCAGCCGCTGGCGTTGGCGTTCAACTAGCTCAAACGAGTCACCATCCGGATCGTCGGCCGAGGCCGGCAGTGGCTCGACAATCGGCTGGTCCATCCACTCTGGAGGGCTATGTCAGAACAAGGTCCAGGATACGCGACGGGCGTAGGGGTGGGTTACCAGTCAGGAGGCGTGAGTACAGGTGAGCCATGTCTAGCTTGCGGCTCTGAACGTCGAGCTTGGCGCGAAGCTGGTGGCTGAAGCTGTCCAGCTTGGATACGGGAATGGACGCATCGTACCGGGACTGGTCCAGCCAGCGCTGGATGTTGTCAAGGCTGACGTCTTTCGAGGCGGCCGGGGAGAGCTCCTTCACGGCCTCAAGAAGGCAGGCGAGGCGGTCACGGTGATCAATAGCGGCATCAGCCTTGGCAAGAAAGGCACGTTTGCGGTCTTCATAAGACTTATGGCGGATATCCAATTCGCGGATTTTGCTGAGGGTGATGCTCTGCAGTGTCTTTGATAGGACCGATGTGGGAGACGCCATGGCTGAGGTTCGATCACGATTCTTGTTGGGGTCACTATGACAAGAGCTTAATGGACAAGGAGGAATGGATAAATAACGATGTTGATTGATTAGAGAGAGAAAATGAAGGTTGAGACGGCGTCGGCTTTATCTTCAGTTTCGGCCGCATCTCCAAGGTCAACGGGGTACGAAGTAGCGGAACGCCATTTTTCAGCCCCAGGCAGATCGGCCACGGGGGCCATGCTCTGGCGACAACGAGAGGGGAAGATGCATGATCTAGCCCTGCCTGGCTCGCGCGCGCAGGGCAGCAAGCAGCAATGCCTAAAAAGACGTCTTGATGCCGGTTCCAGTGCCTAGAGTGGCTGCAGATCGCGGGTTTGGTTGGTGGTGTGCCAAGTATCTGGGGAAGGCAGCAGCGGGTGGGGCTGCGAGCATGGGAGGAACGACTGGCGGATTCCCCATTTTTATTTTTCTTTTCGGTAGACGCGGTCTCGCGTTCTTCAGTTCGCGCAGCTTACTACATGTGTAGAAGATCAATGCTTCTTTGCCTCGCAGGGTTAGCTCGTTCTTGAGCAAAAGGGCCCATCCAACACTAACAAGTCAATAGGCGGTGAGAGAGTCCTTCTGGTACCTACACAGTAGCATCATGTGTAGTTAACTAGTTTGTTAGTTAGTTAGTTAGTTAGTTGTTAGTTAACTAGTTAGTTAGTTAGTTAACGTTAATCTATCACCTTCTGGGACACACCACCTTGTGGGACACTTTTCTGCCCCACACCCCACCACGTCGACTTCGGACGCACCTCACAACACAAAAGAGAGTCTATTCGGAATGCATTCTACATAATTCGAGTCCTTATTTACAAGGGCATTTTCTGGCGTTGTGCTCGATTGAGCCACAAACACTGCACTTCGGCTGCGCACGCTTTCGTGCCTTTGGCGCAGTCGTGTCCGATGGCCCCACCTCTCCTTCTTCGACCTCTCGACGAGCTTCCTGGCTTCCTTGACCCTTCTGACGAGCATTCTGGGAGGCCTCGATGTGTGTCATCCCTTCTCCAATCGTCATAGTCCCTCCTGTTTGAATGAAAGCTCGGCGTGCCCGCTTTCTCTTTTGTCGACCATTTTCAGCTCGAAGTCGCGAGTTCTCTTCCTGCAAAAGAGTAGCATTGTGCATCGCCATCTGGCAGCCCTTGATGATTTTCTGAAGCGCCTGATCTGTTGGGCTTATCTCTCTCTGGTGTTTCCTTTGGAGAGAGTCAAGTTCGACGATGTTTCCTGGCGTTTTGAGAGGCAGACTTGGCGGTTGGATAGGGGTAGGAGGGGGACTCAGTGTCCGTATCCTGGTTTGTAGCCGACAAAGAACCTGAGTTGGATCGAAAGGCAAGAGCCCTGCAGCTCTAAAGCCGCTTGCGATGTTCTTTGTATTGAATGTCTTTTTCCGAGCTTCGAGAAACAGTTCGAGGAATCGCGGTTTGTCAATGTGATGAACCCCGAGTGCTATCTTCGCTTTGACAAGGTCGCCGTACGTCCGCTTAAGCACAGCGAAACAGCTAACGTCAAGGGGCTGGAGGTAGTGCGACGAGTGCGGAGGCATACACTCTGTAAGGATCCGATGGTCAGTACAGAATTTGTCGAATGCAGGCGTCGAATGGCTTCCATGACCATCGAGAATGAGAAGCCGATATCGACCAACAGTCCGTTTTCGAGTTTGTGGCTCGAAGACTTCTCGAAGCCACTCGAAGGTAAGCTCATCGGTTGTCCAGCCGTTATCGCTGACTCCAATCCGCCATGTCTTTGGCAGCACTGAGCCGTCGTACCACGACGAAATGTGGACTTTTCCTTCAAAGATAATCATCGGGTCAACACTCCAGCCGGATGCGTTAATGCACTCGATGACAGTTGTCCACTCTCGATTTCCCGGCTGGATAACAACAGGTCGATTCCGTCGGTCAGATCGAGTGACCACTTTAGACGTGCTTGCAACACCCATCTGGAAACCAGTCTCGTCAAAGTTGTAGATGTCGCTGTCAAGAACACCGTATTCGTTGATGGTCCTTTGCACTCGTGCAAACCACGCTGAAATCTTCTCTGGATCCTCGCATAAGGCCCGTTGATAGTCGTACTTTCTAGAATACTTCGTCTCCAGATGGGGATGCCGATGAAGAAGCCGCTGGACCCAGTTCTCACCCGACAGTCATTGCCGGGACCGGGGGTGGATGTAAGAGACGCGTCGAGTAGAGTGAAGCCTCCACGCTCGCGGAGAAGAAGGTCAGCCATCTGTCGGATATAACCGATCGTCGGCGACATCCCCACGGTCGTCCAATGACTCGATCCATTGAATCAAGGCTGCTTCTTCAGTTGGGCGTAGCTTTCGGTTCTTGACTTGAGCTTCTTGACGCGTACCGCCCCCCTTGACGCGTCTGTGGAGAGTGGACTTCGGTACACCAAACGCATCCGCAGCACTTGCGAATGATTTTGATTTGGCCTGAACGTAAGGCCTCGAGTGCTAATTGGATTCTATCTTCGTGCTGTAGAGGCTTTGGCATTTTGCCGGGCACAATGGCGTAGTGGAGTGCGTCCGAAGTCGACGTGGTGGGGTGTGGGGCAGAAAGCTGTCCCACAAGGTGGTGTGTCCCAGAAGGTGATGGATTACGTTATTGCATTTCGGATGAGTTTATGTAAGCGGCGAGGAGCTTTGCGAGGGAATGAATGAAAGCACAGACCAGGCGGGGCATCGCAGCGAGCCCCCACCACAGAAGCTCCGAAAGCGGCTCCAACCCAGTCATACTGTTATTTCCATTTTGAGATCCCAACTGCATTCCTCCAGGAATAAACAATGGAGGTTGAGCGAAAGTTGTAGACCGAAGATGTTCTGAAGCTTTTTCTGAAGGTCCTTGAGTATATGTTGATACATTGCGGCGTTTAATATGTGGCGTGACGTTTCATTTCGAAAAGCTGTAGATGGGTCGAGGTTGGGTTGAGAGCAGAATGGGGTATTACGAGTATGAATTCTGTAATTCGTGCCGCATAGTCGTCCGTTGGTTGTATGTGTTAATATTCCTGTTATTTTCTACGCCGCAGGCAAGGCCGCTGTGTCATCAGCCCTCCCTGCTGGTTTAGTCTGATGTTTAATGGTTGATGGTCGCTGCCCCCCCGAGCTCCGGGGGGGTCGGTCGGTCCGCTTAAGTTTTTTTCCCCGCGGCAGAAAGCTCCAAACTTTATTATTATAATAATTATCACAAGCAACCCCCGAAACCCACAAATTACCCTACTCTCCACCACAACCTCGATAGCCCTGCCTGATCACTACAATCGCTGCAGGCGCATGTTGGGCGCAATTGAGCCCGCACGCATAGTCTGACTATCATGGCGGACACCAGCAGCTCGGGTCCCACGCGGATCGCCATTCTCGGCAAAGAAGACATCGTCGTCGATCACGGCATCTGGTTGAACTTTGTGACTCACGACCTCCTCGAGAACCTACAATCTTCCACCTACGTCCTGATTACCGACACGAACCTCTATCAGACCTACGTTCCTCCCTTTCAGGCCGTCTTCGACAAGGGCCGCCCCCAAAGATGCCCGCCTTCTCACCTACGCCATCCCGCCCGGCGAGTACTCCAAGGGCCGCGATACCAAGGCCGACATCGAAGATTGGATGCTCTCGCACGCATGCACTCGCGACACCGTCATTATTGCACTCGGCGGCGGCGTGATTGGAGACATGATCGGCTATGTTGATGGCACCTTCATGCGTGGTGTCCGCTTTGTGCAGGTGCCCGAA